TAGTAGAGTTTTATTAAATGGCCTCCATTTGTGTTTAGGTGTGTCGGTGGGAAGTGACACTGTCTTCTCTAGTTTGAGCAGCTCCCTGACAACAAAATATCTATGAGTGAACCCCTTCTTTAATTGCATGTTTTTATAAAATATTAGACTTGCATGCATTGCATATTTCACGAATTGAGTATGTTTTATATTATGTTTTACGGATTTCCATACTTATGGTTTACGGAGAATTTATGATTTATTTAAATTGCTTTTACGAAATATTTATGATTTATCGAATTTACGTTTTACTAAGGGTTATGAATTATTGGATTTTCGTATATGAAATTCTATGGATTTATGAAAATGAGTTATCATGGATTTATGAGATGAAGCTTTGAGCTTTTGAGCTCCATATTTGATATGAGATTTTTGAGATACGCTTTCGATGCTTATCTAGTTGCTTATCATACAACACATACACACAATTGAGTATGTATACATCTATGGCCATAAGACACAGTTGATGATATTTACGACATACTCCTAGCTTCACTAGCTCGAGGCTGGTGTCGGTGTGTTATGTTATATGTAAATGTTTCTTCTCTGGCGTAACCTAGAGTCGTACAGCTTCACTTTTAGGTGATAAACCCTATATTTCTTCTTTGGCATAACCCAAAGTCATAGAGCTTCACCTTCGGGTGATGGACCCTATATTTCTTCTCTAACGTAACCCAGAGTCATACTGTTTCACCTTCAGGTGATGGACCCACTACATATACATATATATTTGTTTCTTCTCTGATGTAACCCAAAGTCGTACAGCTTCATCTTCGAGTGATGGACCCACTACATATATACATACATATATATATATATATATATGTTTCTTCTCTAGCGTAACCCAAAGTGGTACAGCTTCACCTTCGGGTGATGGACCCTATATTTCTTCACTTGCATATCCCAGTGTCGTACAGCTTCACCTTAGGGTGATGGTTATGACTTCGGGCCACTATTATACCCCTAGTTGAGTACATCATTGATGTGATTTATGGATGTTTAACGGATGTGCCTTCGAGCGACTATATTACCTTTACTGAGCATTGGTGCTTTGGATTCTACATACTTGTTTTACGAATGTTTTTTATGGCATGCTAGAGTTTTCAGAAAACCTATTTTGTAGTACTATACATATGTATTTTCAAAATAAGGGGTTAGCATGTTCAAAAGGAAAATCGTTTTCTTATTATTATATTATTATAAACTTTAGTCCACTCATCCTTTGTTTTACACCCCTTCAGGAGTTAGAATCAAGGCACATGATCCCAGCGTCAAGGCACTTACACATAGGTATCTTTGAGTCTTCTCTATGTAGGACCCATTCCTTTGTTCATATCTTTTTATAATAATTTTTTCATATTATTCTTGATTAGTTGTATGCTCTGAACACATTCCTGTATTGGTATTTTTCTTTCTAATTACGTATTTTCTTTGTAGGCATGTTTAAAATGACTTCAGCACCCTCGGATATCGGCTAGCACGTGCCCATCTTAATATTATAGAGATATTGGGATCGGGACGTGTCAATCAAGATTTAGATGGATCCCTATCTTTTATCTTTAGACTCGCGGCCACATTGTATTTATTACTTGGATCTAGACTTTGTAATTTCATTAGATAATTTCTCTGAAATTAAATGCTGCCTAGGGTTTTGGACATGCTGAATTCAGAAATGTTGCCTAGGATTTTGGACAGGCTGAATTTAGAAATGTTGCCTAGGGCAATATGGAGTGAATAAATAAAATGATATAAACTATTTTTCTAATCAATTTAATTCTTAATTTTTCATGTATTGAATTACAAATACAAAGTATAATATGAAATTTATATAACTCATTAATTTTCATGTGTTTGCAAACACAAAGAGAAGTCATAAATTAGAAATGCTCATGTTTATGTGTTAGTAAACACATAAAAGTCAAGAATTGAAATGATTCTACTACCAAATGTTTATTGAATTTTTAGAACTGCTCATGTTTATGTTCGATTACTATAACAAAATAATTTATATATTTTTTTTCAACTATTTACGAGTAAAATTTTCAAAAGAAAAATATTACTTTGATAATTATACCATTATAATTTCTTAAAAATATTATTTGCTATATATTTGGTTGAGACTTGAAGCCACTGCTGGAAGTTCCAGAAGCACAGAACTCAAGTCTTATAAGTGAGCTGCCATAACCAAACCATAAGCCACGTAAGGACAGGAAGCCCCTAATCGATATGTACAACTTGCCACTAGAACTTGACCACAAATTATTAATGTTTAGGCCAAAAGTTTACGACGTCTTATGGTCAGCGACCCAGTATAAGAAGTATTCATCGGTCAGTGCTTAAATATTGTCTCTAAATTAACAAGAGTTTTTCGATTGTCGGTTTGCGATTAGGGACGCAAATTTGTCGACCGGTTGCATTAATGTTGATCGTGGCATGTGTGGCTCATGAATTTTTGAACCCATTTACTACTTAGTTATTACAATTAATGCTAATGTTATATGATAATGCATGTTTTTTGTTGAGAGGGGACAGGAGGTCAAGGAAGCAGGGGATTCATATTCTTTGATAAGCTGACCTCCCACGTTGCATCGCTTCCTTTTACGAAGGCTTTCAATTTCACTGTTACGTATCCTATATCAATAATGTAAGGATGAATTTCAGTTTACTCCTCTTATGTTTTATACTTTTCAATATTTAGTATATGAAATTTTTTTCATCCCAAAGTTATTATTATAGTGTTAATTTTGAGACAATCTCATACATCTGTTAAGTTTTCCGTTAGAATTTCTGTTAACTGATGATGTGGCACCCACGTAGACAATTACTAAGCGTCACGTGTCAATATGAGCCCACTTCAATATTAAAAAATTAAAAAAATTAAAAAAAATAAAAAACAATACGTACCCACCTTCTCCCCTGCACCCTCTCCCTCCCTTCTCTCTTTTGCAAGCCACACCCCTTCCCTCCCTTCTCTCTGTACCTAGAGTCCTGGAGTTTGGCGGTGGACTTCTTCTCGACGCCGAGTACAATGGTGAAAAAAAAAACAAAAAAAACAAACCCAGAACCTCCCCTACCCGACATTCCTGCATTTCATCAACAAAATTTCTGTACCTCCTAGACGGCCATGGCCATGGCGTCGTGGTTCTCTCGCCTCCGCCGTTCCTCACAGCACTTCTTCTTCACCTCCTCCGCCCTCCGAACCTCCATGTCCACCAAGCTAGCGAGAACCCAAAATACAACGAACTCCGAGAGCCCGAAAACCTCCATGTCCACCATGCTGACAAAGCTAACCACCAGATACAAAACAGAGGAGGGCGATTTTTGATAAAATAGGTGAAGCGCCATGATGGCCTTCTTCCTGACAGCCTCATCAAAGAGACGTCTTTTAAGGATTGTGATCTCAATGAGGACGATGCGCTCCTCCTCCGCCTTGGTTCGAGCTTCACCGATGGACTTGACGAGGTTGAGGAACTCCTTGGATCGGCCGAAGCCGCCCTGCGAGCCCATCACGAGCTCCTGGCCGATGGTCTTGAGCTGCTCCATTGATGATTGAGGGTTTGAATTTTAGGGTTTTAGATGGAGAATTGGGGGTATGAATTTGGGGGAATTAATTAGTGAATTTCCATTGCCTGAAGAAATAGAGGGAGAGGTTTTGGGGGAGAAGGGGGTGCTCGGGTGGAGAAGACGAAGGGGGTGGAGGGGATGGAGGGGAGTCGGGTAGGGAAGACGAAGGGGGTTTTGGTTTTTTTTTTTTTTTTTTAAATATTTTTATTTAATTTTTAATTTCCACTTAGACCTTTAATGACACGAGGTGTCCAATTATTGTCCATATGAGTGTCACGTCATTAGTTAATAGGAGACTTAATAGCCAGACTAACAGATGTATGAGACTATTCCAAAATTAACACTTTAGGTATGACTCTAAGACGAAAAAAACTTCATGTACTAAATGTTGAAAACCACGAAACTTGAGGGTAGTAAACTGATATTTACCCATAATGTATTATCAATTAAAAACGCTGGATATTGTTAAAGAGTTGTGATATCCAAAACTCCTTTTTACTTCTCACATATTCTTTTAATTTTCAATCGTCGAATCAGATGAATTGAAGAAGATTAAAGAATAAAAATTAATAAAAATGATCTAAAAAATTAAAAAGTGTGTAAATAGCACACCCGATTATAAAATAAATCTCCCCTTATCTTTTGTTGGATTATCATACTAATTAGTCTAATTTATATTCTGCATTAACTTGTTTGACTTCACCACTTGATCCGACTGGGAATCTGAATTGGTCTTAAGCAGCAAGTGCTCCTAAACTCACTGTCATAATGGAGCATTTTATATCTTTTTTTTTTTTTTTTTTTTTTGTTAAACGAGACAAGTTAGTAGCTTCGTCATAATAATCCATCTTTTCAGAAGTCAAGAAGACTTATAGAGACATTTCAGCATCTCTCTAGCCACCAGACAATAATGTGATCCAAGAGTGCCAGAAAATCAAATCCAGGAAGTGTTGTGTGAAATACAAAGTTGAAATTCATCTCCAATCACTGAGTCATCCCACAGAGGTTTTATCTTTTTGTTTTTTTTTTAATTTACTATTACTATAATTAAGGGGAATGGAGAGAGTTCAAAACAATTAAACTAATTTTGGAGAAAGAGGAAATTTCAAACCGGACACATATGTAAAAGCCCAACACCATATCTACTGAGATATTAAATCACGTACTAGAGCATTTATCTAAACAATTCAATCAAATGAAAGAAAAAAAAAACGATAATACAGATACAGTAATACAACTGGAATAATTTGATGGAGTGATTTTTTTTTTCTGGTGTAATCATCAAATTCTTATGTGGCGTTATTATTCCACCCGTAATATAACACAATTTATTTACGTATGTATCGATACTATGTTTAAATCCATAAAGTGTCATCCCAGTCATCCACCCGTACAAATCAAAAGAAGTTTAAAATTGCCATCTCTGAGTTAACTCAGTAATAATTCAGTATGAATATTCTTGCATTTGTTAACATATTCTTCCCTTAAAAATATCTAGTTGCAGTTGGGTGCTTCCAAAATCTGAAAGAGTATGAAAATCCACGATTCTTGCGCCGCAAGGCTCAGCAAAAGAAGCTGCTTCTTGTGCTCAGCGCAGCCTTATGGAAGAAAAGTATACAAGACATCCTCGTCTTCCCTCTAGATTAGTGATGCAATGGTGTTCATCTCCAGCTCGTAGAGTTAAGCCTGTCGAAAAATCACCTTCTACACAAAAATGAGTCCACCCTAGACCAATGCTACCTGATAACAGAACAGAAAACCATTGTTAGCGATCGCTGCTGTGAAACAAATGCACCAGAAAATGCAAGGATGAATTTATCAACCAATGTTTGAAAGCAGAGCTATTAATATCTGAGAAATTCAAAAAACAGAAGGGAGAAAATAAATTTAGACATTCTTACCGATAAGTGATCTCCTGAGCAGTTTGATTCAGATTACTTGGGCTCTAGGATGATCAAACGAACTATCTGCCCCAAATACCGAAATGATTTTGTTATTTCTTTAAAGCATTTGTTTTTGTCATCTCCAGTCCAATGCTGTAGTAACAAAACAAATATTTCCAACTTCTAAGTACTAAGAAATAAACACGACTAGAAACTCAACCAAATGAGACCAAATACAAATAGTTTCAGGCATTAACCTCTCCGAGCTTGTTGAGCTTCTCACGAACACCTTTCAACAACTCCTGCACGTCCCCTTCCCATGTGTAAAACCCCAACTCCCTTCCTTCCAGCAACTTCTCAGATATCAGAAATTCACCAATCCAAGTTTGCAGAATGCAAAAGTAGTTACTAGTCTGTTGATCCCGTCCTGTAAAAAAGCACTAGAAAAAACCTCATCTTTCCACACAATGATCAAAACTTTCATGCTTCAACAAAACGGGCTGAAAGTAGTCAATAACTTGGAGACCTTCTACTCTACATCAATGCATTGTATTTTAAGTGGCTTAGTCTTAGAGTCGCACTAAATTCCGTTACATTTCCCCCCGCAAATTCAGCAAGTTATGTCATTCGTTGATGTACTCTAGAATTTACGCAACTTCAGCAACACCCTCAGAATTCAGAACAATTAACATAAATTTCAAGACTTTGAATCATTTAGGCAAGATTAAAGAATCCCGAAAACTCGAAAAGTACCCATCTTGCAATGGAAAGACGAAAAGTACCCATCTCGCACTAATATAGATGATATCAGAAATATCGGTAATCTAAAAATACGGAAATTTTGATGGAAATATCGGGATATTATCGATATCAATAAAAATTGAATAAAAACCATGGAAATTGTAAGAAAAACTTGAAAATTTTTATTGAAACTTTACAGGATGTTTATTTAGTTAATTATCTATTAGTTTATGACAAAAAATTGGAAGGAAATGCATTGCATGATGGATTTAACTTATTTAAGTTGATTATATAGCGAGCTGGCAAACATTGTGAGTGTAAAAAATATGTAGTAATTAATGAAAAAAGTTTAAACACACCATAATCATTTATATATAATGAATTAGTACAATATTTTACACTTTATACATTGCATGGTAAGATACATGAGTGACTTAGTACCTAATAGAGTTTCTATCAAGGTCTAAATATCGATGATATCGGAAATATCAGTAGTCCAAAAACACGAAAATTTCAATGAAAATATCGGGTTAATATCGATATTTTAGACCTTGATCACACCGTCTCGAGCTCCCTGAGCTAATATCACAAACAAATAACATTTATCTTCAAATATTTGCTAAAAGTGTCGTACCCAGTGCACAAAGCTCTCGCTTTACGCAGAGTCTGGGAGAGGTGAATGTCGACTAGCCTTACCCCCATTTATGAAGAAACTGCTCCCAAGTCTCGAACCCGAGATCTACCGCTCATGGGCGAAGGCACTTGCCATCGCACCAAGTGATATTTGCTACTTCTATAATTTACATCCACGACATTTATTTTTAAATAATTACATGACGTCTTCAAGTCAACAAAGTTTTCAGCTCCCCGTTTTGTGAGGGTTAGGAAGACGTTCGTACGCAACAAAGTGTTACATAGTCTTTCACAAATATATATATGGACCGACTCTAAAGTGTTATATTCATTATGCTTATGATACGATACAACAGTTGCTTTTTTCTACAAAATTCAAAAATGTTAATGATACAACAATGCTAACACTGTACAAAGAATAATGGTTATGCAACTCTCTGGGTGGTGGAGAATGTACAGAAATCTGATGTGTCAAAACTATGGACGAAACTCTGATGTGTCAAAATTATGCTTTTGCTTCCGTTTCCGCCTCCCCCTCCGCCCAGTAATGACTCGGGATTACCTGATCCCTTTGGATGAAAATCCACCGGTGATTCCTGGCGCGCTTGGATTTGGAACATTCGTGAACATAATTCCTGAGGCATGCTCCCTTTACACAACTGCCCGCTTATTTCTGGCTTGCTTTCAATTTCCGCAAAAACTGTAATATCTCTGTATATGAGGGATCACTGCGGCTGAGTGGTTTGCACGAGTTTATGTGATCTGTTGAGTCTAATACCTGTTCCAAAGTTACAAATTAATGCCGAAAATAAACAGACATGTAAAATATGGAACACTAATTACTGGAAGCAAGTTATAGTCTAGGGTTTGTTATCATCATTTTTTTAGGCAGATGACCTAACCGATTTTTTAGTGATCTACATTTGTTTGCAATCATACTTACAACAAGATCACCAAATCCAGGATATGCTGATTCAATTGGTACAATTTCCATTCGGAAGGCCCATCTGCCGTAACCTTCAACAATTGGAGTTACCTTGGTCTGCAAAAGGAGTCATTACCTAATTAACAAGTTAACAAAATCGCATATTGACACAAGCACCACCACAAAACTTTAGAGGTACCTCACAGAAACTGAGGACTTTAAGCATCCCCTTCTTGTGAAGCTGACGGATAAAGTCATTAAGCTCTACTAATCTTGGGGATCCACTTCTTAGCTCCCCTATCTACGAAACATCAAGAAGTAATTCTATCAACATCAATACAGCAGGATTTGCTGGTCCGAACATTCAGAACCAGCGATCTGATACTATAGGGAGGAAAATGTTTAGGTTGTAAACATCATATACTAACAGTCGGTGCTGGGCGAAACACAAATCCCATTCTCCAAGGCATGTCAGCTAGTTTGCTTCCAAAATGTGGGCAGCTATAGAAAACCTGAAGCGAGCATAAAACACCAGAGTTCTCATATAGAAAACAGTAATAAACAGGTGAAGAACAGCATTGTAAGTGAATTGTTCAATTATAGAAAGGTCCGTACAACTCCAATGGTGTTTTTCACGAGGTTATCGATATTATCTGCTCTTGCTTTATGCAGTATCTGCTTGACAACCAGACCTCCCATGCTGCAAACAAGAGAAAGCTAGTAGATTATTGCATTAAAAAACAGAATCATCTATAAATTATATTGTATAAAAATTTAGTAATAAAAGTATGCTATAAACTGTTTACCAAAAAAATAGAAAATCAATAAAATGCCCCTAGCAAAACCTATTTTTATTAAAAAACTCTTAGACAACTTTCTTTATCATTAAGGACACTTTTTTGTATAATTAAGGACACTTTTTTATTATAAAGGACCTCATGAAGTGCAACTCATTTTTGTTTATCGTCCTTATAATACCATACATGTTCTTAATAATAAGAAAAGTTGACCAAGTGTTTTTCAAAAAAAAGAGTTTTGTGAGGGACTTTTTATTAGTTCTCCCAAAAAACAAAGGATGCTGTGAACCAAAATAAAGAGAAAGATTGGTTGCATTATTTACTGCACTAAAATTGAAGGTGAGAAAAGGAAGACACAATAAAAGACTATATCATTTGGTTGTGAGACTCTGTACCACATTTGGTGTTTACCAGAAAGTTCATTTAAAAGAAAAACGTCTGCAGCACCTGCTTCTTTTACTTCTGTTTTGTTTTTTTGGGGATACAAAAAACTCTGACAACACACAAGACCTCAAAGACATCCTTAAATATGTCAAAGTTAGAACTTGAAATTGAAAAAAATAAAGAGAGAGTGCATTTTATATGTGTGTGTGTGTGTATGTGATGACTGAAAAAAATAAATATGTTATAGCCACTGTATGATTAAAACCGAAAATGGCACACCAGTGGGATAGATTCGAACACACAGGCAACACTGTACAGACCTGTGAGTCACGAAAACAACAGGTCGATTCCCAATACCTGCAGAAACAAGCTTCTCTAACAGCATCGAGCTAACTTCCTGCACAATCCAAAAACAAATGAAGACAATTGGAAACTGCAAGGAGCTAAAAAACATCTAGATCAGCTACAGGCTCAAACATGAGTTGTTGGCGAAACCAAAGATCATTGCCTAAAATTAACTCATGCACAGATTCATATGTTCTACAAATCAATAAACTACTGAAGTCATTAGAATCTGAATCACTAGCAATGAAGAGAATGCTCTTAACACCCTATAGAAACCAATTTCTATCAACCAAAAAACACTGACCTGAAGAGGCAGGCTAGCACCGGACCACTGTGTTAGATTTGTCTGCATATAACATTCAGATAGAGTTAGATGCCAATGAGGGGACCAACCTACAAGAAAATAATAAATTTAATACAACAATCACAAGAACAAACCTTGTATTTAAGGGTAAACATACGAGCTCGAGGAAAGTCAGATGAAAGCCATTCACCTGGCCAGAATGTTCCTAGCTTTCCCGCTTCCTGGTCAATCTTCTCTACTAAGCCAGACTTGGTGGATGACTTGTCCTCAGATATGCGCCAAGTCTTATAAGGGCCCCCACGGAGGCCATGGACAAAAACAATATCCAGAAGAGGCTCCCTTGTGGCTGCATTACTACGAGATGCATCCATAGAACTGGATATGTTAACATCATCTGAAATTCTGGTCACACATTTATCCACACTCTCAACAGAATTTACTTGATCCGAAGAGGATGCATCCCTTGGACTTGTGTCTTGGTCACTTTTTTCAAGGCAATTCCAATGGGGAAGTTCAGGATTGATTAAGAATATCATGTCATCATAACAGGGGCAAATTTTTTTTCCATTTGCAATACCAGCATCGGGAACATCACCATTTGCAGAATCTCTTTGGCGTCCGCAAAATACATTTATAAGTGTTTTTCTAGCATAACTTTGAATTTTAAGATCACCACAACCTGAGATCTTACCATTAGCACAATCCTCAAGCCATTTACACCAAGTTTTATCTGCTATTATGACTCTCTGGACTTTTGGATGTATTGAAAGAATAGTCAAGAGCCTCGCTGCATGCCTACGGATGTGAGCTGTGGGTGGAACTTGGACACTAGATTGACCATTACTATCTGGAATAGATGACTCTTTAGAAACATTTGAGGTTCGCTCTTGTGCCTCAAGCGTCTTAGAAGCATCATAAGCTTCTATGGCAGCAAGTTTCTCATAATCATCACATAACAAAAACCGTCTCAGCAAACATAAGACTCCAAAATCTGTTAGTTTCTCCTGACATAAAGAATCGTCAGCACAAACTTCAGTCAGTGCTTTGATTCCCTTCAGAGTTGCCACTGCAGAATCTGCTGCATTAACCTTAGGCAAACTATCTTTCCTTAGGGTTTTAAATGGCCCAGAAAAAGGTTCAGCGGACAGAAGATCTGCCAGTGGAAATGTATCAATAGAATCAGTGGTTGTTCCCAGCTGATTCCCTGCTAGATTAACAACTGATGCCAATAACTGATTAGAAGTCTGTGCAGCAAAAAGCATGTTTGACTGATCAATTTGTGTCTGCAAAAGAAAAACTAAGGTCAATATGTACATTCTAAACAAAACTAGATAAGTGAAACGAAATTGAAGTGGTTTCAGCATAAAGAAAAATTGGAAGCAACATTCTTAAAGATACAAAAGAATTTCCAAACAGGAAATAAGAATGCTGACCTTCACATTCACAGATCTAGCCTGAGGGGTTCCTTTAACTGATGCCTTTTTCAAAGTGAGAATTTCAGTAAGCAGAATAGCTAACCATCCCTGAGAAATGGGTACAGAGTATGGTCCATAGTCTTCGAGAATGCGAGAAAGGATTTTTATCGCTGACAAACGTAATGTGTCAGAAGAAGGTTTTCCAAACACCCAACGGAGTAATACAGCAGACCACCTTTGG